CAATTTTGTAGCAATATGGGTGAGTCACAAGTTGTTGTCATGATTTTTGTTAATTGACGCTGTTTGTAAAATTTTATTTGTCTTCCTAAACATGCCATTATTATCCGGTCAAAAAAATTATTTTTTTGCTTTATGTTGACAACAATGAGTATTTTCTTTTCAATGTAGGCGAAGACAATGCTGACTTGTTATTGGAGACTCTGTTTGCATATTCTGTAAGTGAACATCAGCATAATGTGTTTTCTGTAAGTTTTATTGTAAATACGACATGTTTTCTTTGTCTAACTTGAGGAAAGTACAAGAAATTTCTCCTTTACTCTCCAAACGAATTAATGACACATAAATAAAATAGTAAGCCCAAAGGCACCCAGATCCTTTGAATTTGAGTTGTTATTATTTACAGAAATAAAAAGACATACATTCAACTGTTTGTGTGATTACATAATTCTTGCACTTGCAAATATGGCTCAAGGTTGTATTATCGGCCATCGACTCAGAGGGTACTGAACTTATTGGCCGTGGCATGTGGAATGGAATGGGGCAATACACAAGAAGTGCAAGATAAAAGAAAAAGTTCAATATGACAATAGATTCAAGTCAGCTCATAACAACACAAAAATATATTGCAACATTGTATGGTGATAACTCTGACAACTTGACCGAGTAAATCGGAGATGTGTCCAAGTCAACCACTAGTTGAGTGAGATTGCTGGTTTACATAGAACATGCATTGGTTTCATAACAGAAGGTACCGAGTCGGATACGACTCAGCCCAGTCTTATCGATATGGGTTGATACTCTATACCATGCTTTTCAAGGATTTAGTTATTGGTAAGTTGGTGGGGACACAGTTGTGTTAAACAAAGGAAAGAATGTACTGAATTTCGTTCGCAAGTGGGGGCACTCATAAAGCATATGCTTATTTCTTTGGTTTTCTTTTTTTCCATTACGTGGTATGATTTACAAAGATGATCCTTTTATTTGGAAGCTCTAGATTCGATCTATGATTTGTTGGATGCCGATAGGTATGCTTATCAATTGTCGAAAACTTGTACTTCCACACACCATCTAACCACATGACTTGAAAAATGGTCATGCTACTCGGGATTGTCCTAAATTTGCCACCTACTGGCACTGCCTTTTTCAGCGTGATTCCTTCTTCGTTTGTATGTGCCAATTTTGTGGGCTTTACTACTTTATTCATGAAATGTTTACAAGGACTTATCAGAAATCATATAAGATATTGATAGACTCCTGAATCTCTAGTTTCTTCCTATGATGTCTTTAATTAACAAAATTCATCTTGTTTTACTTTTGCTTTTATCTGCAGAAATGCCGCATATAATTTCTTCATCAAATGAAATATTCAAGTTTTATACCATAGGCTGATAATTCATCATCTCCCCCTCTAGAACCCAAAAAAAAAAAAAAAAAAAAAAAAATATTGGTAAAAATGAAAGAGGAAGAAAGAATGCTGATGATCAGAGCTTAATGGATCCTTCCAGTAAAGCCAATGGCTTTACAAGCTCGTGTGACTAAATTGAAATTTCCCCTCTTTTCAGGAAAAATAACTAATATTGCTTTATGTTGTTTATTTTGTGTCATAATAACAATGCAGGTATGATATATTAAGTATGTTATTCTCTAGAACAATCCTTCTTGAGTAGTTGAGATTGAATGTGTGATGATTTGGCTATTGACTTAAACACAATGCCTTGGGAAAATTTTCTAGAGATTGTCACAAAAAATTTAACAAAACAGCTTTCGCTTCTAAAATAATACTCATGTATATTTTCTATTGTATTAATAACCAAGCATTGACCGACAAACACATTATGTCAAATACCTATACCCAACAAAATTTATATTTTTCTTTTTGATTTGCACTGTTTCCTATATCATTTGAAATTGTCATGCATTGCTGTTGACCTGATTTGAACTTTAACAGGCCCTTAAAAAACCATGTTCTGAATCATCAGATTCCCTTGATAGCTTGTTTGGTGATGAGAATGATACAAGCAGTTACCCCAATTTTGACACAGATATTCATCCAAAAGAGGTATTCTTCTGTGATATGCTTGTGTAATAGTTCTTTCTTGTCCCCCATCTTGTGCTGGATTTTATTGGTTTGCTAATAAAAAATGGGGGTCTATCGCAGTGATCTTAGTAAGTAGTAGTTGTTTATTTTAATTGATTGTTGCATTCAACTTTGCTTTTCTGGAGCACTTCATGGATTATTTGTTTCTCCAATGCTTTATCTTGTTGATCTTAATGAACACAACCAACAAACATGACCATTGAGCATGCAAAATAGCAATTTGAATGATTGCTTAACCCACCAACTCAACAACTCTTTGGCTCGGATGGGGCACGTCCAAAAGTTTTGATACTCTACTCATTTCAGAATTGACAAGGGATCAGTTTCCTTGGTATCGATTCAGTTCAGTTCATCCTTAAGAGAGCTATCTTATTGGGGTCTGGTTAATTGACCTAAGCTGAGCACTATTCAGATGGAAGTGGAAATCCCTTTTTAAACAAAAAATGCTAAAGCGACAGATCGGGAAGTAGTTCCTTATCTGGAGAAGCTTTGGAAGATAGGGAGATTTCTACTATAAGATATTCATGGTCGTTACCAATCAACTAGAAAAAGGCGGGCCTTTCGCTTGGTTGATTACTAAAGAAGGTTGTTGTCTTGGTAAGTCTATGCCTGGTACTCTGTCTTTCCACTATATAAGTGACTCTCAATCAAATGGGACTGCACTTGCCCCTCCTTTCTTCGGTGGTGATCAAGGATTAAATTTTGTTTCGGTGTATTGTTTCACTTACTTATGGAAATGTTTCGGAAATAGATTGAAAACGGATAAAAAAATTGAGAATTTATTTCCCAAACATTCTGAAAATATTGATTGAAATATACCAAAGCATATTGAAATAATTAAAAATAGTATGAAACATTGGTGGAAACATGTTGAAATTTTGATTCAATTACCATTTCGTTTTGGTCTCTTTGAAAACGAAAATGTTTTGGTTGTTTTGAAACGAAATTTTGATCATTGGTGTTGATACTATCTCTTACTTTTGTGGGTAAACTCCTACTTAATTAGTTAGAACTTCTCCGTCTCAACTCATGAACTTATCTATCCTCGTCTTTTTAAAAGATAGGGGCTAAATTGCTATTCCTACAGATTGCTTGTATTACTCTATTACTCTTCACCTTCTCATCGGCTGTCATCGTTCAATGATTTTATGGGCACCTAATATTGAGTCTTGTTTTGAAATTTGCTTGCTTTATTTATTTATTTGAGATCTTTCTCTTAGTGAGGCTACTTTGCATCGTCTCTTTTTGCTATTCATCGTACAAAATCATATTGGCTTATTTTTTTTTGTTTGGGTGAATTTGAGTTTTGACATATAGGAGATAACAAATAAATGAGATAAATTAAGGGAGAATTGAGTTAGGTGGTTTGGACAAACTTATAGATGACATAAAATAGTAAAGAAAAATATGATTACATATGGTTTAAGAGAAAGTATGACTCTTGATTGAGTACAATGGCGGAATTTTTGGGGACAAGGCTTTGTTGAGTTGAGTTTTAGTTGAGTTGGGTGAATTCGAGATATGAACTGCTTAGCAGGAATAAACGTGTTGGTATGCTTTATGAGGCTAGTCTGTGCAAGAGGAGACAATGAGGTGGAGAATGATAAAAGTGGGGTGTTGAAAATTTCTTTTTGTGTTGTATTTTGATGGGAGGCGTTGGTTTGGAGTTCTCATGTAGAGGCATCTGGGGTGCAAAAGCAACCCCTTGAAGGTGGCATTTATAAGCCAGGTATTCACCAAAAGATCTGTACTCAACACCTGAAACTTGAGGTTACAGAGGTTGGCAGCACAAGCCTTCAAAGCACTCCATGTGTCTTTCCTACCACACTGGTCATCTCGGTCACCCTGGTCATATGTTGGTTTGATCATAATTTAATAACCCTCTTCCTCACTCCATGTGACATTATGGTCATAGGTTTTTTTGTTGGTTTGCATTTTTAAAAAAATAAAAATAAAAAATCTTTTAGTTTGTATTTAACTTTTTTCTTTTCTTTTCTCTGTTTTCTTGTCTGCTATGCTGGTCTAGACAAGGGTTGCACCTCCGGTTTGTCATTCTTTAGTGATTTCATTTGCTTATAAGAAAGAGCAAGAAAAATAAGAAGTAATGTTATTTTCCATTTGTTAGNGTTTTCTTGTCTGCTATGCTGGTCTAGACAAGGGTTGCACCTCCGGTTTGTCATTCTTTAGTGATTTCTTTTGCTTATAAGAAAGAGCAAGAAAAATAAGAAGTAATGTTATTTTCCATTTGTTAGGCCATAACCACTGTCTTGGTAAGTTCGTTCAGTCAACTTTTGGATTCTTTAAGTTGCTTGTTTTCTAGCTCAATTTTCAATCTCATGCAGGAACCTAATGTACTTGGTGGCGTTAGTGACGACAAAAAAGCATCCTTATTAAGGATGAATTTCTCTTTGGATGAAGTTGAGTTTGCAATGGATAAGCTTGGTATGTGGAATTTTCTGTATTTAATGATTTATGTTTGAAAAAACAAACCAACCATTTGTGCATTTATTCACCTGTTTAATACTTGAAAGACTTTTAGAAATACATATAATTGGGAATGGCAATCGGTTTGGTATGTGATAGGTGCCAACCTCAAATTGAATTGTTTCCCCAAACCCGTCCCAACCTATGGAGAAAGGAGGAAGTGGGACTGGGCAAGGTAAGATTTATTGCAGATGAAGGATGGGTTCCCATCGGAAAGCCAAGTTTCCAAAAAAAGTACAATTGGAAATATTACATGATCATGGCCTAATTCTTCTTTATATAACCACCCTTGAGGCCTCGTCTTTGTTCTACTTGCAATACTGGGAAACGTCATTGTTCTATCCATTTCGTTTCATTTATGTGCACTGTAATCTCAGTTCTTGGACATTATTATTAAAGGTGGGTCTATGCTCATGCTTAGGCATGGTTGACCTTTGGGCTTGACCTTGAACCTATACTTACTTTCAATTTGCTCTGTTTGTATTAGACACTATATTCTTATCGCCATGTCTGATTTTCTAGATTTCAAGACATTGGTGAGTTCAACACACTCCATGCAAATCTTTATCAAACACGTGTTTAGAATTTGTAGTCTGACTGAAAGCTTAGACCAAAGTTGCAAAGAAGAAAAGATATACGTATAAGAAGAGAAGGAGAAAAGAAGTTTGCTGCTCTAATATTCCGTAGTTATAAAAACTAGGTATGGGAGACACTACATATAAATCTCTAATACAAAAGAAAGACTAGAAGACTCCTCATGATTCTTAAACACGCACATGAGTATAAAATTGCAATTTATGATATCTTAATCAAGACTATGGTAGTCCATTGTAGATTTACTTTTGTTTCTTTGCTCTTGGTACGAAAGGACAATATGAAAGGACAGTATGGTTAATCATTGATGTATCTAAGTTCTTATCCTCTTGTTGCGTAACAGGTGAAGATGCCCCTATAAATGAAGTAGTGGACTTCATATTTGCTGCTCGGATGGCTGAAAACCCTGAAAAGGATGTAAATTACCCAAATTATAATGATGGAGAAAGAAATGAGGTCAGTGATGACTGTTTCATGACTATAATTGCATTTGTTGTGTTTTGAGGATGTTTACACATACATATACACAAATATCCTCAAAACGCAATGAGCATCTTGGGCATGCTTAACTGTGGATGGGTACAATTGGCATGGATCTTTGGAGAAGAGTGGAGATGAGAAAAGGGCAAAAAAGAAGGAACTAGTCATCTATTATCTTCTACCTTGTGAACAGCCAATTTTATTCATAAAGATAAAATTAGTCTACTTTCATTATCAACATAAAATAATGTGGTTGATTCTCTTGAGTCAGGTTCAAAGGTATAACCTTCAAGTTCAATCCATCATATTTAAGTGTTAGTTTGACCAGCTTAGTTTGAGAGTTGCATTTGTAGGTTGATAGCTTGCATGTTTCCTTAGTTCTTTTACGCCATGATGCATTAAAAACATATTGCTGTGCCCGTACTTGGTTAACTGTTAACTTTTTGTCACTTCCAGGATAGCAACACGGAAAGCCTATTTGGAACTATGGATAAGACACTTCGTTTGCTTGAAATGGGTTTTTCTGAGAATGAAATTTCAGCCGCCATTGAGAAGTATGGTGAGTAGTGATTTATGTGATATTGAGAATTTGCTGTTTGGGCACGAGTCTTAATAAGCATGGTTAATATGAGTGGTGAAATGTTTTTTAGTGCATAAGATAAGAACCTGGTTTTTCATGTCTGCAATACTGCATCATATCACCCAATTGAGGTGAGACGACATTCCCAATGCTTTCCATTGATTGCTGATCTGTTCTCGGTTTGCTGGGCTTTAAGTTGATGCTGAGAGGCCTGATATGTCTCGGCCTTTTTGGTGTGGCTGCAATTTTTAACCATCAATCATCTCAACAAGTTCTTTCTTCTCCTCTTTGAATGCATTTTATGTCGATCACTGATGTTCTTGAGAAACCATAATCTCCTCAGTTTTTGGTAGACTTGACTGGACAATTAGTGACAGGTACTATAAGCTGATGTCTGTGAAACAGTTCTCTTACTCGCTAAAAGCTTGATCTATCACCTTGTCCATGTTGTGCCAGTAATCTCTATTTCTCATCTTGACCAAATGTGGACTAGGAGAGTAGTACTTCTCCTAAAGCCTGAATGAACTTGATCATCATGTGAATGGTTATTTGAGCGAAGCTGTACACTCCCCGACGTAAACAAATGGCCATATCGGATACCATTTTTAATCCCTGTCTGAGACACCCGGTCTTCTAGAGTTCCAAAGTGATGAGTACTGAGCCTTTTTCAGTCAGAGTGCCTACTAATGCACCAAATCTGGCTAGGTTATAGTTATATTGAATGGATTTGTCCATCTATTGAAGTGTCTCTTGATTCAAAACCATGGGATTGTCGGAGGCAGGCCAAATATTATTGTTTTGCGTGAAAGCATCCTTGCAGAGCAAGTAGGGCGCAATAGTGCAATTCCAAAAGACCAAGAGAAGAGAAGGTGGTCTAAACAAAAATATCCATTCCATACATCATCGCCAGGAAATACGGAGGACCTATCTGGCATGTTTCCCTTTTATTCTCAAATTGCAGTTTCACGTATTCCTGACTGGGTGGCTTTGCATCTTGACTAAGATTTTACTACCGACTAGGACTCGTCTTGAATCAATTGGCCACTTTGTTTAACACTATACCATGAGGAGTTGGATAGATAGAAAGGAAGCAGGATTTAAGTTTTCCGGGTTTCTCTTTTCCAATGGGATACCTTTTTCTCTCAGATACCATTCTGCAATCGTTTTATTATCATATCATCTTCAGACTTTGGATAAATTTTTCAATTACAGTATGCATTTTCTCAATTAATGTTTTTTCTTTCATTTATGTGCTACCTTATTGTGCTTCTGCTCCTGGTAGGATTATTTTTGTTCGGCCCCTTCAATTATTTGTTATCAGAGTTCATGTTTTGTTTTGTGTAGACCTTTTACTGTATCCAATTTATTGTGTACTTTTGTATTTGGCATTTCAAGTTCCATATTTTGGCCAAATCATATAATGTGTGTTTTCCTGTATCATGTTTGTTTATCAGAAATATACATTATTTCTTTCCATTTTTTCCTGTGGTGGAAATATTCCGCATGTATTCTGTTGCTTAATATGCTGTCTTCACCAAATTAAAGGCTATCATCTTTGCTAAATTTGGTCAATTATGATTGGGTTCTCTAAGAAATTTGCTAATGTGGTATTGTGGGTGTTCTCGGCTGGGCACATCTTAGTTCATCTTGCTGCCAACATAGCAGTTACGAATATTTTTTTTGTCTTTTAGGTTCAGAAGTTCCCTTTTCAGAGCTCGCAGACTCGATCGTTGCGGATCAAAATGCTAGTTCTTGTGTGAGCGAGAAGGTTATTGTTCATTTTTTTTTTCCCCTCTTTAGGGAAGGATGGGGTTGTTGTTTGGGTTGTGTTTTGGTGGAGTTTAGACCAGCAACCTACCTGTTGAACCCAATTTTTGTACGACACTGCATTCTATAGATTCACTACAGCCCGAAGATAAACGATAAATAGGTTGCTGTGTTGTTAATAATTATATAATTTATGTATGAGTTGACATAGGAAGTGTTTTGTCACGCTAGCCCATGATCTCAATGCATTAGGTTTGGATGCGCCAACTGTCGGAGCTCCATCTGAGCTTGGTGGCCTGGGAAAAAATTTTAAAAGAAGGAATATTTGATTTTTGGTTTCCATTATCAGCAAAATATTGAGGCATGGTCTTGTCATTATTCTGTTAGTTCACTAACTCCTAGTGGTACTTTTCCTTGATCTTTTGCAGTATTCCTCAAACTCTTTCCGTTTGAACTGTTCAAGTGCTGACTATCAACGTAGAGCTTTGGGTAGAGGTATAGAATATGGCCTAAATCACCATTTCCCTGGCACAGTGAGGGTAAAAATGGAGGAATGCAGTCCATATGCTACTTCTAATTTTCGGGATACTGATGCAAGTCAAAAATTCAAAGGGAAGCGGCCAAAAGAAGAATATATTGATGAGCCATACAGCTGGAAAATGCCAAAAGAGGAGTACGATGACGACTCAGGCAGTTCGTTTGGGCCGGCATGGCTTGAAGCAATTGCCAGCTCTCGGGTGCCTGTAGCACCCAGAAAGCTCCATCGTAAAGCAGCTCAAGCGGATGTATCTAGGATGCCCAAACTGTCCAAACCCAATTCATGCAGGAGTCTTGACCGAATGGTAGCTAAATCTCCTTATTTCTTTTATGGAAACGTTATGAATTTATCGCACGACTCTTGGGTCAAAATATCACAGTTCTTGTATGCAATTGAGCCAGAATTTGTAAATACTCAGTTCTTCTCAGCCTTGAGTAGGAAAGAAGGCTATATACACAATCTTCCTACTGAGAATAGGTTTCACATCCTTCCAAAGCCACCAATGACCATTGAAGAAGCAATACCGCATACCAAGAAATTTTGGCCATCATGGGATACAAGAAAGCAGTTGAGCTGCATCAGTTCTGAAACTACTGGAATCACTCAACTATGCGATAGGCTTGGAAGAACATTGATTGATTCCAGAGGGCTGCTGTCAGTCGAGCAGCAAAGAGATCTCCTCCATCAGGTTCGGACCTTGAATCTTTTGTGGGTTGCCCGTAACAAATTGGCCCCCATAGAGCCAGAACATCTAGAGGTCATTCTTGGCTACCCATTGCATCATACTCGAACAGCTGCGTTCAGCCCAACAGAAAGACTTCAATCCCTCAAACACTGCTTCCAGACAGACACACTGGGGTATCATCTCTCTGTGTTGAAGCATTTATTCCCAGAAGGGCTGACGGTGTTATCTATATACAGCGGAATTGGAGGAGCTGAAATTTCCTTACACCAGCTTGGTATCAATTTGAAAGCTGTTGTCTCGGTGGAGCCTTCTGAAACAAAGCGGAGGATTCTCAAGCAGTGGTGGCATAATTCTGGACAAAGTGGCGAGTTGGTGCAGGTTGAAGACATTCAGAGACTAGCAACTAACAAACTGGAGGCTCTGTTCAAGAAGTTTGGTGCTTTTGACTTTGTCATCTGTCAGAACCCAGATATTTACTCTTCAAAGAGTCCCAATTCTGCTATTGATGGTGTCAGCCTTGCAGGATTAGACTTCACGTTATTTTATGAGTTTGTACGTGTTTTACAACGTGTAAGGAGTACAATGGAGAAAAACAAGTGACTTATTTCCTTCAATGCCCTTGTAGCTTGTACTTTACTGATGAAGAATGGAATGTAAAATGACACTTGTATTCTCGTCTTTTAATTAGAATTGGATGCTAAAAGCAATTAAATATGTATGTTGTCCATTTCAGGGAACTCTATCTTGAAACATGGTCACCCTCGCCAGGGTCCATCAAAAGTAAAGAAATGGCAAAGGCTACAACAATGCCATCAAGACAACAATAAAAGTTCTCCTCTTGTTGCCTTCAATCTGCGAAGATTCATGAGCTGAAAAAATAATGCAACTTTTACCATTCGCAAGGCAAATGGAACTCTCTTTGTTTGCAAAGAGTGATAGTTCTTTCTGTGCACATTACCAAGGCTAATAAGCTCTTAATGTGATATAATCAAATTTGCTTCTGTCCAGCTGGTCATTCTGTGATTGTCTTTTGAACCCTGCATTTAGTGGACAGTGATATATTCCTCATGTTTTATGCACATGCATATTCGAAGTTACTCAAATTGTCACTCTTCCTCTCTACATCTATACTAAATGTTTAAGAGAATCCACCCAAAAAATACAAATTTCATATAACCATGTACTCTAACGTTCGTTCAGTAAGAAGCACTCCAACCACTTGCTTTATTACTTCATAACGGCCAAAAACTTCGACTAGTANAATTTTTGGTTTCCATTATCAGCAAAATATTGAGGCATGGTCTTGTCATTATTCTGTTAGTACACTAACTCCTAGTGGTACTTTTCCTTGATCTTTTGCAGTATTCCTCAAACTCTTTCCGTTTGAACTGTTCAAGTGCTGACTATCAACGTAGAGCTTTGGGTAGAGGTATAGAATATGGCCTAAATCACCATTTCCCTGGCACAGTGAGGGTAAAAATGGAGGAATGTAGTCCATATGCTGCTTCTAATTTTCGGGATACTGATGCAAGTCAAAAATTCAAAGGGAAGCGGCCAAAAGAAGAATATATTGATGAGCCATACAGCTGGAAAATGCCAAAAGAGGAGTACGATGACGACTCAGGCAGTTCGTTTGGGCCGGCATGGCTTGAAGCAATTGCCAGCTCTCGGGTGCCTGTAGCACCCAGAAAGCTCCATCGTAAAGCAGCTCAAGCGGATGTATCTAGGATGCCCAAACTGTCCAAACCCAATTCATGCAGGAGTCTTGACCGAATGGTAGCTAAATCTCCTTATTTCTTTTATGGAAACGTTATGAATTTATCGCACGACTCTTGGGTCAAAATATCACAGTTCTTGTATGCAATTGAGCCAGAATTTGTAAATACTCAGTTCTTCTCAGCCTTGAGTAGGAAAGAAGGCTATATACACAATCTTCCTACTGAGAATAGGTTTCACATCCTTCCAAAGCCACCAATGACCATTGAAGAAGCAATACCGCATACCAAGAAATTTTGGCCATCATGGGATACAAGAAAGCAGTTGAGCTGCATCAGTTCTGAAACTACTGGAATCACTCAACTATGCGATAGGCTTGGAAGAACATTGATTGATTCCAGAGGGCTGCTGTCAGTCGAGCAGCAAAGAGATCTCCTCCATCAGGTTCGGACCTTGAATCTTTTGTGGGTTGCCCGTAACAAATTGGCCCCCATAGAGCCAGAACATCTAGAGGTCATTCTTGGCTACCCATTGCATCATACTCGAACAGCTGCGTTCAGCCCAACAGAAAGACTTCAATCCCTCAAACACTGCTTCCAGACAGACACACTGGGGTATCATCTCTCTGTGTTGAAGCATTTATTCCCAGAAGGGCTGACGGTGTTATCTATATACAGCGGAATTGGAGGAGCTGAAATTTCCTTACACCAGCTTGGTATCAATTTGAAAGCTGTTGTCTCGGTGGAGCCTTCTGAAACAAAGCGGAGGATTCTCAAGCAGTGGTGGCATAATTCTGGACAAAGTGGCGAGTTGGTGCAGGTTGAAGACATTCAGAGACTAGCAACTAACAAACTGGAGGCTCTGTTCAAGAAGTTTGGTGCTTTTGACTTTGTCATCTGTCAGAACCCAGATATTTACTCTTCAAAGAGTCCCAATTCGGCTATTGATGGTGTCAGCCTTGCAGGATTAGACTTCACGTTATTTTATGAGTTTGTACGTGTTTTACAACGTGTAAGGAGTACAATGGAGAAAAACAAGTGACTTATTTCCTTCAATGCCCTTGTAGCTTGTACTTTACTGATGAAGAATGGAATGTAAAATGACACTTGTATTCNCCTGTTTGTTCCAGCACATTAGAATTTACCAGTGATCAGTAATAAATTATTGTAATTCCTGGGTTTAAAAGTTTCGCCCTTGTAGCTTGTACTTTACTGATGAAGAATGGAATGTAAAATGACACTTGTATTCTCGTCTTTTAATTAGAATTGGATGCTAAAAGCAATTAAATATGTATGTTGTCCATTTCAGGGAACTCTATCTTGAAACATGGTCACCCTCGCCAGGGTCCATCAAAAGTAAAGAAATGGCAAAGGCTACAACAATGCCATCAAGACAACAATAAAAGTTCTCCTCTTGTTGCCTTCAATCTGCGAAGATTCATGAGCTGAAAAAATAATGCAACTTTTACCATTCGCAAGGCAAATGGAACTCTCTTTGTTTGCAAAGAGTGATAGTTCTTTCTGTGCACATTACCAAGGCTAATAAGCTCTTAATGTGATATAATCAAATTTGCTTCTGTCCAGCTGGTCATTCTGTGANGATTTTTGGTTTCCATTATCAGCAAAATATTGAGGCATGGTCTTGTCATTATTCTGTTAGTTCACTAACTCCTAGTGGTACTTTTCCTTGATCTTTTGCAGTATTCCTCAAACTCTTTCCGTTTGAACTGTTCAAGTGCTGACTATCAACGTAGAGCTTTGGGTAGAGGTATAGAATATGGCCTAAATCACCATTTCCCTGGCACAGTGAGGGTAAAAATGGAGGAATGCAGTCCATATGCTACTTCTAATTTTCGGGATACTGATGCAAGTCAAAAATTCAAAGGGAAGCGGCCAAAAGAAGAATATATTGATGAGCCATACAGCTGGAAAATGCCAAAAGAGGAGTACGATGACGACTCAGGCAGTTCGTTTGGGCCGGCATGGCTTGAAGCAATTGCCAGCTCTCGGGTGCCTGTAGCACCCAGAAAGCTCCATCGTAAAGCAGCTCAAGCGGATGTATCTAGGATGCCCAAACTGTCCAAGCCCAATTCATGCAGGAGTCTTGACCGAATGGTAGCTAAATCTCCTTATTTCTTTTATGGAAACGTTATGAATTTATCGCACGACTCTTGGGTCAAAATATCACAGTTCTTGTATGCAATTGAGCCAGAATTTGTAAATACTCAGTTCTTCTCAGCCTTGAGTAGGAAAGAAGGCTATATACACAATCTTCCTACTGAGAATAGGTTTCACATCCTTCCAAAGCCACCAATGACCATTGAAGAAGCAATACCGCATACCAAGAAATTTTGGCCATCATGGGATACAAGAAAGCAGTTGAGCTGCATCAGTTCTGAAACTACTGGAATCACTCAACTATGCGATAGGCTTGGAAGAACATTGATTGATTCCAGAGGGCTGCTGTCAGTCGAGCAGCAAAGAGATCTCCTCCATCAGGTTCGGACCTTGAATCTTTTGTGGGTTGCCCGTAACAAATTGGCCCCCATAGAGCCAGAACATCTAGAGGTCATTCTTGGCTACCCATTGCATCATACTCGAACAGCTGCGTTCAGCCCAACAGAAAGACTTCAATCCCTCAAACACTGCTTCCAGACAGACACACTGGGGTATCATCTCTCTGTGTTGAAGCATTTATTCCCAGAAGGGCTGACGGTGTTATCTATATACAGCGGAATTGGAGGAGCTGAAATTTCCTTACACCAGCTTGGTATCAATTTGAAAGCTGTTGTCTCGGTGGAGCCTTCTGAAACAAAGCGGAGGATTCTCAAGCAGTGGTGGCATAATTCTGGACAAAGTGGCGAGTTGGTGCAGGTTGAAGACATTCAGAGACTAGCAACTAACAAACTGGAGGCTCTGTTCAAGAAGTTTGGTGCTTTTGACTTTGTCATCTGTCAGAACCCAGATATTTACTCTTCAAAGAGTCCCAATTCTGCTATTGATGGTGTCAGCCTTGCAGGATTAGACTTCACGTTATTTTATGAGTTTGTACGTGTTTTACAACGTGTAAGGAGTACAATGGAGAAAAACAAGTGACTTATTTCCTTCAATGCCCTTGTAGCTTGTACTTTACTGATGAAGAATGGAATGTAAAATGACACTTGTATTCTCGTCTTTTAATTAGAATTGGATGCTAAAAGCAATTAAATATGTATGTTGTCCATTTCAGGGAACTCTATCTTGAAACATGGTCACCCTCGCCAGGGTCCATCAAAAGTAAAGAAATGGCAAAGGCTACAACAATGCCATCAAGACAACAATAAAAGTTCTCCTCTTGTTGCCTTCAATCTGCGAAGATTCATGAGCTGAAAAAATAATGCAACTTTTACCATTCGCAAGGCAAATGGAACTCTCTTTGTTTGCAAAGAGTGATAGTTCTTTCTGTGCACATTACCAAGGCTAATAAGCTCTTAATGTGATATAATCAAATTTGCTTCTGTCCAGCTGGTCATTCTGTGATTGTCTTTTGAACCCTGCATTTAGTGGACAGTGATATATTCCTCATGTTTTATGCACATGCATATTCGAAGTTACTCAAATTGTCACTCTTCCTCTCTACATCTATCTATACTAAATGTTTAAGAGAATCCACCCAAAAAATACAAATTTCATATAACCATNGTGCATATTCGAAGTTACTCAAATTGTCACTCTTCCTCTCTACATCTATACTAAATGTTTAAGAGAATCCACCCAAAAAATACAAATTTCATATAACCATGTACTCTAACGTTCGTTCAGTAAGAAGCACTCCAACCACTTGCTTTATTACTTCATAACGGCCAAAAACTTCGACTAGTACACCAATGAAAATTTTAGGTAGTGTATAGCAAAAGTAATATCAACAGCTCTTGCTGAATTTGCAGCCAGACAACTTCTCAGACTCGTACAATATGTGATTTATGAGTCCCCTCGCTGCACTATAAACCATAAAGCATAGTAAGAACTTAAGAAATTCTTTTGCCATCACAATATATTGGGCATGTGTGCATGAGTTAATTGGTGCTCAAGCCCTATTTGCTTTACTGACCAAAACATGAGCACCATTATATGAATATTGTGGGTGGGTGGGGGTTACGGGAGGGTTCAATACGGACAAGCATAAAGAAATGATGAAAAGACCGAATAAATCATTGAAGAAGCTAGTCTGGAGAATGACAGTGAATTGTGATCGACTCTAATGATATAAGTAGCCAATGAGATCAAGTGAATAACAATGTGAAATAAAACTCACTCATCCTTCAGCTTCTGAATTTTGTCTAGATCTATCGCATGAATGTGTTTTTTGAACTGCTACCTCACCATATCAACAACAAGCTCCGTGTTATGTTGCTGCAGATTAATTATAGTAGAAGAACCATGTTAATATTCCTTCCCTTCTAGGTGTTTGGGCAGCAATTCATTCTAAAACCGTAACAGAGCCTCAACTATGAGTCCTATGTAAAGTATAGCTAATCATTCACTTAAGAAGTCAAATTGTCAAACACTAAATTGAGCTACCAAGAAAATAGAACAAACTGGTATCTAGTGTTCTCTTTCCAAAACTAAATCTGTTAAGGTTAGGAGAAAAAATATTTATCTTTTTTTTTTTCTTTTTTGAATAGCAACAAAGAGATTTTAATAGAACTGAATACAAATCACATGAAGGACAAGATTCCAAATTTTTTTTACAAGAAGTAAAGATTAAAATCAAAAGCAAAATATATCTCACAAATAGATTTCTAATTCATCCTTAAAAAAAATGAATTCTCCCAAAATTTGAAAAACCCAAATCCAAGCCAAAAGACAAATCCTTTCAAAATCAATTCTCATTGGCACCCCCGGTCTAAGTTTCTCAAGAATCAAATCAAAACCAAGCTTAAAACATTGATACATACAAGATAATACAAAAGATGAAGGGAGATAGAAAGAGAGAAATATTACGTACTTGATGACCGACATATTTAGCTCTTCGGAGGCATTCCTGATAGAGCTAAAACACCAATATATGAATTAATAAAAAAATAGAACATAATAATAAGAACTTAAATTATACTCAATTCAAAGATTTGAATAACAAAACACAAGTACATTTCGTATTACTATTAATGTATGCACATAACTGTAGAATTATTTTCTCAAAAAAAAAAGGATAAAGAATGAATGAAACTAACTTTGATGACATTGTTGGCAAGTTCAGGTGGCAGCGCTGTTTACAGAGACGGCATTTTAGAAAAATCATAATAATCAATAAATTGAATTCAAAGCAAATAAGTAATTAAGTTCCTGAATAATGGCCCAATCGTTCAACCAAATGAAGAATGCAAAGAATCACANTCAGGTGGCAGCGCTGTTTACAGAGACGGCATTTTAGAAAAATCATAATAATCAATAAATTGAATTCAAAGCAAATAAGTAATTAAGTTCCTGAATAATGGCCCAATCGTTCAACCAAATGAAGAATGCAAAGAATCACAAGGTAAGAAGAAAAAAAAATAAAAATAAAAACACCGCAACAACCAAACACCGCAATAATTTCCCCTAATTCATCACACATAAATTTCTAGGATGAAAACACCGTAAAGTATACAAATTCATATAATATGAAGCTGCCACTCGCCAAACCCATGGCATAGTATGAAGAAGCAAGCTACAAATTTCTCTCAAAAGTAATAAGAGACCACAATCTATGGCTATACAGATCCCTACTAGTCACTGAAGGCTATACATGAACTCAAACAGTACTGAAAGCAAATTTTTGATAAGAAAATCTAATCAAGTCAACAAAAAACTGAAAGGAAAAACGCCATAAATCTAAAAACAAACACTGGTTTGCAAAATACACAACTGAAGGCTAATGTTTCGAAACGATTTCAAGACTCAATATGAAATCTGTCTTAATTACCTGAGAAGAAAAGCAATGGGGTGCGAGCTGTTATCTACCAACACAACAACATAGTTCATTTCAATAAGAACAAGCAATATGAATTTTTTTTTGACAATAATTGATATAAAATTCTTGAAGTCCAAATCAAAGTAACAATAAAAAAAACTAATACAAGATTCTAGATAAATCGAGTGCATATCTCATTGAGGCAATGCATCAAATATATTGTGAACAATGAAAAGAAACACATCTCAAAAAAAATGCGAGAAGTTAGGTTGAGCGAAGGTCGATTCACAGAAAGCAAGGAAAAACTTATATCGGAGGAAGGAAGACATACCTAAAGGAGTAAGGAAGACTGATTCACAGTATGTGTTGTTGTGTAGAAATTGAGAGATCGGAGAAAAGAAGACAGGCTGAGCGACTGAAGGGAGAGAGACTCAAGTTTAGAGTTTCAACTATTTTGGAGAGGAGATTNTGAGAGATCGGAGAAAAGAAGACAGGCTGAGCGACTGAAGGGAGAGAGACTCAAGTTTAGAGTTTCAACTATTTTGGAGAGGAGATTGACTTATGGATTGGAGCACCAAATTTAGAGTTTTGCTTGCCAAAATAGCTAAAAGGCTGAATTGGCGAGTAGACTTGGAGAGATGCTCTTATTTTTATGGGATAACTCTCTCTCCTCTCTCTATTACTCCCTCACCATCTCTCCTCTATTTTCGCNAAAGGCTGAATTGGCGAGTAGACTTGGAGAGATGCTCTTATTTTTATGGGATAACTCTCTCTCCTCTCTCTATTACTCCCTCACCATCTCTCCTCTATTTTCGCTCTCATACTCTCTTTATTTATTCCTTATTTTTTCTCTCTTTTTTCTATTGATAATTTATTTTTTTCAAATATTCAAAGATTTGATTTAATTTTTTCATTTTTCTCCCATATTTTTTTTCTCCCTCTCACTCTTTCTTTCCCTATTTTCACTCACCATTACTCTTTCTCTCCTTATTCTTTCTCTATCTCTTTATATTAACATTATAATAAAATAGTTACACAAATTAATTACAATTACCTTATAATACACCTAATAATTACTCATGTGTTATAATAAACCAAACAGTTACATTAAACAATTACACAAAATTATAACATCAACTCAATTTGTCATTCAATTATTTACATAAACCAAAGAATTATATCATTTCGTATCACGACCTGGTTACATCAATTATATACATCAAATTGAGTTTATCATAACTTCAAATAGATAGTATAATTATATATTAATTATGATTTTTTAAGAATAATTAAATTTTTATGTTTGATTTTATTTCAATAAATGACACAATAGAACATGAATTTTGGTTGTAAAATTCATGTTTTATTATGAATCACTCTTTATTTGATTTTTTAGTTTTATTATAATAGATAGCATAACTGTATATTAATTACGATTTTTAAGAAAATATTAGATTTTTATTTTTAATTTTATTTTAATAAATAATAAAATAGAACATGAATTTTGGTTTTAAATTTTAAAATATTTAATATTCTATATTTGATTGAAGTATTTTTGATTTAAGTATAACATTTTAAATTTAAAGGGTGTAAGTATTATACTCATAAACTTTAGGGAATCTGAATGTAATTTATTAATGGATATACTAAGATACGCTTAACGGTAGGGGTCTATGTGTTACGCGCATATTAATATTAGGGGGTTGTTTGGTATATGGGTTTAGGAGGGGTTTGGATTATGGGTTGGGGAATAAAACCCTTAAACTCATGTTTGGTAACTCATGTTTAACGCAGGGTTTGGAAACTCAACTTGCTAGCTGACTCGGTCATGAAATTCATGAATTTGGGTTTCATGAAATCCATGCCGGGGGGGGGGGGGGTTTCATAGGGGGTTAATGGGTTTATACCATCATATATCCCTACATGGGTTTGGATTAAATTTGTTAAGGAGGAAAATAGTCATTTAAATACAAATATATTATCATAATAGTCATATATCACTGCGCATATCAAACATGGTTATGAACAACATTAAATACTGAATCTTATATTTGAATCTTATTTTTGGATCAAACCAGGGTTTGGACAAGCTAATTCAAACCCCTCTCAAGAAACATATCAAATAGTCCCTAGGGGGTCTGTTTTGTAATATTTTAAATTTTATGGGATCTGGGNTTGTAATATTTTAAATTTTATGGGATCTGGGTAATTAATTAACAAAACTCAGAGAGTTTGAGTGTAATTCTCTCAAACTGTTAATATAATAAAACAAATTTCATAAAAGATAAGACTACCAAACTACACAATCCAATACTTATGGAAAAATTATAATTAGTATACAATTATACTATCTATTTGATGTAATGATAAACTCAATTTGATATATATAATTGTGTGTAGCCGTGTCGTGATACTAAATAATGTAACTCTTTAATTTATTTAAACAATTGAATGACAAATTGTATTGATATTATAATTTTTTGTAATTGTGTTGGTGTAACTGTTTGATTTATTATAACATATGAGTAATTGTTTAGTATATTATAAAACAATTGTAACTAATTAGTGTAACTGATTAATATAATTGTATTGTTGTAATGTTGTTATAAAGAGAAAGAGAGGGAGAGTAAGGAGAGAAAGAGTAACGATGAGGAAAAATAGGAGGAGAGAGAGTGAGANGGTGTAACTGTTTGATTTATTATAACATATGAGTAATTGTTTAGTATATTATAAAGCAATTGTAACTAATTAGTGTAACTGATTAATATAATTGTATTGTTGTAATGTTGTTATAAGGAGAAAGAGAGAGAGAGTAAGGAGAGAAAGAGTAACGATGAGGAAAAATAGGAGGAGAGAGAGTGAGAGATATAAAAAAATTAAATCAAATATTTACATATTTGAAAAAATAAATAAATTATCAATGGAGAGAAACAGAGAAAGAGAGAGAAAATAGGGAATAGATTGAGAGAATAACAGAGAAAGATAGAGAGAAAATAAAGAAGGGAGAGTTAGTCAGTATAATGAATTAATGAATGACCTTTTAGTGTTTAGTCTTTTTCTAAAAAAATGCATTTTGAGTCAAATAAGTTTTTTTAATATAGTTTAGCTTACTTAAGTCCAATTTTTTATACGGGCTTCTAAATTTTGCTTAATTTAATGCTCAAAATCGGGTANGTCTTTTTCTAAAAAAATGCATTTTGAGTCAAATAAGTTTTTTTAATATAGTTTAGTTTACTTAAGTCCAATTTTTTATACGGACTTCTAAATTTCGCTTAATTTAATGCTCAAAATCGGGTAAAGTGCTTACCTGTTATACCTTTCATCTTATAAAATTCAAAAATAGGAATAAGGCTCTGGTAAAAATTGCATGATTGTTTATTCATACAAATAATACAATGAAGTGAAATAAAGTTCACTCTATCCAAATGTAGTAATATATATATATATATATATATATATCTCATCACTCAATCGGGGACAGGAAAGAAACAAACCCCAAAGGGATGGAGACTAAAAGCTGCTATTGGCATCTGGGCTCTATACTGTAATATTATATATTATACTTATTTACATCCATATGTGGAGCTTTCTGCTACTGACTCCGGCTCTCCATCTTGTAAACAATCAATGGGAGGTATTGTTAACGTCTCCTGAATTCCATATGCATTCCAGCAGAAAGGGTCATCCACCAATTGCCCTTCTTCTGGGAGAAGCTCGACTTCCGACATGGTTATATTCGTGCAAGGCACTGAGTCGCTGCAGGCAAAATGTATTGGAGGGCTTCTCACGTCGTAAGTGCCCTTTATGTTCCTATAGGACACATCGGTCAAGTAAACAGCCGAGGTCTCGTTCCGACAGGCCTTGGATAAGCAGTAATATTGGTCGATGATTATGCAGTTCCTAACGTTGTCCATTTGGATGTTCTCAAATGATATGCCTGTTACAGAACCCGTCCCGCCTTGCCATGTCTTGATCCTGACCCCGTTGTCTGAATCCTTTATCATTACATTACGAACGCTAATGTTTGAAACACATGCCTGAGAGTTGTGCACCCCAAGGCTCCCAATGCTGCACCACCAACCATCATTGGGCTAAATCATTCTTTTCAAACATAACAATTTCTTGTGCTTTTTACATAGGAAATCTAGAACATAACTGAACCCAATTCTACTTGTGATGTTGCCAAGTTTTTTTTATTAAATATCAAAGAAGCAATGTACCTGATACCATGACTAGGTCCACAAGTGACGGCTTCAATGTCAACATTTGAGCAACCAGGTCCAATTGAAATGCAATCATCTCCTGTTAAGTTAAGCAGAAGCTATTATTCAATATTATACGCAATACTCGTTTGGTGATTTTCAATTCTATTCTCGAATTATGTNATTGAAATGCAATCATCTCCTGTTAAGTTAAGCAGAAGCTATTATTCAATATTATAGGCAATACTCGTTTNGACTAGGTCCACAAGTGACGGCTTCAATGTCAACATTTGAGCAACCAGGTCCAATTGAAATGCAATCATCTCCTGTTAAGTTAAGCAGAAGCTATTATTCAATATTATACGCAATACTCGTTTGGTGATTTTCAATTCTATTCTCGAATTATGTATATATATATATATATAAAGAGAGAGAGAGAGAGAGAGCGGGATACTACTAGCTTGGTACCATTGCCAATAACTGAGTTGTATATTCCCACAGACTTGGTGCTCTCAATGTGGATCCCATCAGTATTGGGGCTAAGCTTAGGAGAAGAAATGGTCAGATTTTCTATCAATACTCCTTCGCACCCATCAAATTTCATGTGGAACTGTGGACTGTTTTGGATGCATAGCNCCATCAGTATTGGGGCTAAGCTTAGGAGAAGAAATGGTCAGATTTTCTATCAATACCCCTTCGCACCCATCAAATTTCATGTGGAACTGTGGACTGTTTTGGATGCATAACCCACTGACAACCAAGTTGGAGCTCATGAAGAAACGAATCAACTGAAAAAGTGAGAAATCGATTACTTTGTTAGCTCTAAAAAGATGTCAGTGATTAAACAAAGAGTTAGATATTGGATGGTTTTACTCACTGCTGGGCTGTCACAAGGTCCGGGCAATGTCGATCCATTGGGACCCTGAAATGGCATTTTGATTGCATTTACTAGCATTTCATTTTTCCANGTGATTAAACAAAGAGTTAGATATTGGATGGTTTTACTCACTGCTGGGCTGTCACATGGTCCGGGCAATGTCGATCCATTGGGACCCTGAAATGGCATTTTGATTACATGGTTTAAGGGTAAGGAAATGCACTAGATTACTATCAATGTGAAATTAGATAAATACCCTGTGAGGTTTGCACGGTAGTTCCCACCAATTCTCTCCATTCCCTTCAATGGTACCACTTCCAGATAGAGTCATATCATCAAGCCGATAAAACACAAGCCATTGCTTATTGCTATCTTCTTTCGGCCAGCCATCTGGTCCATTAGGTGGCATTAGGACCCCATCAACCTTGTCACACCCAAATCTTACAAGTGTAAGCAAGTTTACACATCAACTATGAAGAAGAAATTAGTTTGAATAAGTAAGAGACAGTGAAATTTGTGCAAATTCTTACTTGAAACACAAGTCCTGGTTGGCATGGCCCTGAGAAGATGGTCGAAGTAATCATGAAATCATAGTCTGATGGAGCCAAAAGAACAGCTGATTCTACTTGACAAGCTGCCTTCCAAGCAGCCCTGAAGGCAGCAGTGTCATCAGTAGAACCATCTCCAACAGCTCCAAAAGAGGTCACATCAAAGATGCAACCCGAGCTCGAGTTGCCCGGATCGTTTGGGTCTGAAGAGCCCGGAGGATTGTTTGGGTCCGAAGGAACAGGAGGAGGATAAGCAGGGGATGGAGAAACAGGGTCTTCAGGAGTAGGAGAATAGGCAGGGGACCCAATATTGGACTTCTTGCTCTTTTGCTTCTTGTGAATATGATTTCTTCCTTCCACATTACTTGAATTCCGCAAGAACAGAATGGTAATGATCCATATAGCTAAAAAACCACGAAGGCTGTCCATGGGAAGTGATTTTTTTTACTGCTTTATCTAAGCAATCTTTAACAATGCGAGTATATCCCAATCTAGGAGAAAATTTCCAGATTTTCCCTGGAAAATTTCACCTTTAGGGACCCTATTTTCAAATACTCAAATGTTGACGAGAGAGAGGGACAGAACAGAGAAGAAGAGAGGAGGAGATAACAGTTACTTAAGAGTGGTCAGGGTAGTGGTAAGGACCATCTGAAGCAAAGGCTGTAATTTATAGTTAAAAGTTCAAAAGTGCCTCAAGGCAGAGTTTCCATGCAACAGGCCGACACATGTCAATTTCAGGTGGATCCAAGCATCACTTTCTCTGGGAAGGCTCCTGAAAATGGTGAAGCTACGTGGACTTAGTTTTCTGTGGCAATTCTCTTAGAGCTCTCTCTCTCTCTCTTTTCTTTCACTTGTTTGTTTCAATGATTACAGGTGCAGATATCTTGTGTTTGAAATTTCTGATATCTTTTATTACCAAAGAGATAGTTTATTGGCTGGTGTTTTATTTTTATGAGATTAAGCTAGGAAGGTCCTGTGAGCTAGTCTGACTACGAGGCCTTCAGTGTTGTAGAAAAGTGTGCCTAGACTAAGTGGGATTTCTGTATTGAAGCTTGAAAACATTGTGTGGATGTTTCCTTAGCTAAGAAGTCTGAACAATTTGTTCCATTAGCATTTGCTGCCTAATTAAGTTGTTGTTGTAATTAGAGAATATGAAGAAAGTCTGGCGTCGGGGTGCGACTGAGGAAGGCAGTGGTAATGATACATCACTCATTCTTCTTTAACAGTGTTTCATGTGATTCCTGTTATGCAGAGAGAGAGAGATGCCCTTCTGTGGTTGTATAGTAGTTTGGCAAATGTGGTGAGATTGAAAACTGAAGTTTTAACGTGGTGAATGTGGCTTGATGCATAAAAAGCAAAGAGATCTCGTGACTCTTTATTGTTGTGTAGCTTCTTGTGGCTATCAAAGTCGGAAGCTTGTAGTAGCTGCACGACAACAGAATTAAACCATTCACGGGTGCTTGCTTCCGCCTAAACTTTTATATATATATATATATATATATAATAAAGTAGTTTATAAATCAAATCTAAAAAGATAAACAAAATGACTTTTGCTATTCACGGTTGAAATCGTTTTAAATTTTACTTTAAAATTAATCTAACGGCTAATATTAACATTTTAAATTTAATAGGAAAAATAGGCCCTTAAAAGTTTGTTTGGATTGATTTTTTAAAATTATTTTGAGAAATTATTTCTTATAAATACTAAAAAAAANATGTAGTAGCTGCACGACAACAGAATTAAACCATTCACGGGTGCTTGCTTCCGCCTACACTTATATATATATATATATATATATAATAAAGTAATTTATAAATCAAATCTAAAAAATAAACAAAATGACTTTTGTTATTTACGGTTAAAATCGCTTTAAATTTTACTTTAAAGTTAATCTAACGGCTAATATTAACATTTTAAATTTAATAGGAAAAATAGGCTCTTAAAAGTGTGTTTGGATTGATTTTTTAAAATTATTTTGAGAAATTATTTCTTATAAATACTAAAANATAAACAAAATGACTTTTGCTATTCACGGTTGAAATCGTTTTAAATTTTACTTTAAAATTAATCTAACGGCTAATATTAACATTTTAAATTTAATAGGAAAAATAGGCCCTTAAAAGTTTGTTTGGATTGATTTTTTAAAATTATTTTGAGAAATTATTTCTTATAAATACTAAAAAAAAATAGTGTTTGAAATCGTCTCACCGCCATCGTTACCGTCGTCGCCACCACCACCGCCACCACCACCACCCGTACCACCACAACTGTCGTTGTTGCCACCACTCCCACCACAACTGTCGTCGTTACCACCACCATCGTCGTCGCCAACATCATCACCACCACGATCATTGTCACCCACTACAACCATCACCTTCTCCTACCACCACCATTATCGCCCACCACCTCTCACCCCCACTATAAATCGATACTTAAATATTTTTATCTCTTCTCTATATTTGTGATTTGATTTTGTATATAAATATAAATATGTTTATTGTTTAGTATTTTTTATTATTTTGTGCCTTCAGACACAGACAATAACTAATGTAAAATAAAGTACAATACCATTCAAATATCAAAAAATAAGCAAAATGANTATTATTTTGTGCCTTCAGACACAAACAATAACTAATGTAAAATAAAGTACAATACCATTCAAATATCAAAAGATAAACAAAATGACTTTTGTTTTTCGCAATTGAAATATCTTTAAATTTTACTTTAAAATTAATCTGACAGCTAATATAAACATCTCAAATTTAATAAGGAAAATATGGTCCTATAAGTGTGTTTGAGGTGATATTTTAAAAGNATTATTTTGTGCCTTCAGACACAGACAATAACTAATGTAAAATAAAGTACAATACCATTCAAATATCAAAAAATAAGCAAAATGATTTTTGTTTTTCGCAATTGAAATATCTTTAAATTTTACTTTAAAATTAATCTGACAGCTAATATAAACATCCCAAATTTAATAAGGAAAATATGGTCCTATAAGTGTGTTTGAGGTGATATTTTAAAAGTATTTCTAAAACTTATAATTTTTCATGAATACTTTTTAAAAAAAATAGTGTTTGAAATAGTTATACAACCACCACCGCCCCACCAGCACCAACACCAGCACCACTAGCACCCCCACCACTACCACCACTGTCGTTACCTCACCACCACCTCTGCCAAAATAACCACCAACACTGTCGTCGCAGTCACCACCACTGCCACTATTCTACCACCGCCACCACTGCCACCATCACCACTACTATCACTGCCCCACCGCCACCATCACCATCACCACCGCTGCAGCCACTCTATGACCACCACCACTTTCACCACCTTACCATCACTGTCACCACTCTACCACCCCCCATNGACCACCACCACTTTCACCACCTTACCATCACTGTCACCACTCTACCACCCCCCATCACCACCACCATCGCCACCCTACAACCACTATCGTCGTTGGCACCACCACTACTACTACCCCTACTACCACCATCACCACTGCCANACCCCCTACTACCACCATCACCACCGCCACCACCACCACCACCACTATCGTCACCCTATCACCACCGCCACATGACCACTACCATAACCACCATCGCAAACACCCCACCATAATTGCCACCCCCGTCCCCATTGCCCCACCGGCACCGCCATTATCATCGTCATCCACCACCAATTGTTACCACCATCATCCTACTACAATCGTCGCTCATCGTCAGCACCTATCACCACCCACTACCATAATCTACCATCGCTTGTCGTCAACAACTATCACCCACCTCCACAAACACCTACCACCACTATCACTATCACCCATCATCATTGCTGCCACGCACTATCACTCACCTTCACCATACCTACCACCATCACCACTACGGCCGTTTGCCACCACTCATCACACTATCGCCTAACAACACCCGTCGTCGTCTATCACCACCATTATACTGCCCACTACCACTACTAATCACCATCACTATCGCCCACCACTATCACCATCACCATTATCCATGGTTGTCATTACCTCTATTATCAACCAAAACCCACTACTATCATCGTCATTCAAAATTTACCACCACCATCACCGTCGCCACTCACAGCTGTCACTATCTCTATGGTTATCACCATCCGCCACAACTATCACTGTCTTCCACCATTACCATTGTCGTCTACCATCACTACCACCGCTCAATTCCACTATAACTAGTGCTTAAATTCTTTTCTATCTTTTATATGTTTGCGATTTGATTTTGAGTGTGAATACAACTATATTTATTATTGACCATTTTTTTTATTATTCCGTGTCTTCAGGCACAAGCAATAACAAGTATATGTATAACCTCTCTAATCGTAAACTCCGAAAACAACCCATTAACCAATCTTACAATAAAATTAACCTTAGAACCAACCAACAAGAGAGTTAACTGTTATTGTTGGATTCTATGGAGCTAGATCAACACTGTCGACCGGTTTAATATTCTCAATCCTCAGCAAATTTGAGTAAATTTGATATAGGTTCAAGGTTAAAGATCATAACAATTATGCGGGTGCAAATGATGTTTTAACATGTCACGAGTGTGCTTTCACGGGCAGTTTGGAGGCTAAGGAGATTGGAATTTCTTGTAGATTTAGCCGCAGCACAACATTCGTGCCTGAATCAAGATGTGATTCTGTTTTGTGTGTCATTGGTGTATTCAGTTATGATAGTGCTGGTTTCTCCTTGGCCCACAAAACACATATACACAAATATTATTGATTCTCATTATGCGAGCCTGAGCCTGTTGCCTATCTATTATTGGTGCTGAAATGAAATCGACATAACTCGTAAAACAATGTTATTGAGACTTAATTTAAAAATATTATATATTATAGATACTGATTAGCCGTAGATCCAAACACTAGGAAGAAATTTCAAGAGAGCCACCCACCGCTACCAGTTTCCAACACAAAATATTCACATGCTAGTACTTGCAGAAGATTTGGTAAACTCTCTCTGTGTGATGTGGGCAGATGTGGAGGGGGCACGTGTCAGAGAGATAATGACAGGTTGGTGTTTTTTCAGTGTGTCACGGGTAATAATAGCAAAGTGATTATGAAGTTTATTAGATTGGGTAATGCTAAAAGCATTGTTGCGATCGCCTTCCAACCCATCATAGCAGCTAAAGGCCGGCCTAGGATTAAAACAGAAAAGAGAAAGGAGACAAAACGTAAAACAAAAAAAGTCGGTTAACAAATCTGATACCTGATTTCCTTAAACTCTGTGTTTCTTCCAAAATCTGCAATTTGTTAGCGTGTTACGGGTTTATAATATAGTCACTTAACCAACAAAAATCCATCAAGAGTCATAAATACATCGGAGAGTGTTCAATTTTTTTTTCTCTCTCTTTTGACAGTTGTAACTACACATGGGTCCTCG